CGCGGCTACACCGGTAAACAACAACCTCTGATGCGAACGTAACAGTCCCCGTCGGCAAATAACGAACCAACCACGATAACATGTTATGTTTCTATGTTGGACCGAGCAGCGTTGCAGGTCGCGTGCTGCCAGAACAAGCGAAGAGTGTTCGACTTCCTCGTTGCGGGTCACATGTGCGACGAGCTGCTGAATGCACCCACACATTACCGGCCCATCATGTCGGCGCTGCTGCTGGCGGTGAAGCACGCCGGTGTTGATACCACCAGGCGACTTCTGGAGTTGGGCGCGCAAGAGAGCAACGCCGGTCTGGACTTTTCACCTCTGCATGCCGCGTGCAATGTGTGTGCTCCCCGTCACGGCGGTCACCACACGACACACAACACGACACACGCGCACACGCACGACACTCAGCGCACTACCGCACACACGACCACACACACACGACACACGACACACACACACACGGCACACAACAAAGAGTTCATACTTGCAAACTGAGCGATCGCGTGACCCGCTTTCAGGCCGAAAAGGACCGCGAGGAGCTGATGGCGTTGTTCGTCGAACGCGGGGCCGACGTCAACGAGCGCACCAAATCCGGCGGCCAACGCACGTGCCTGCACATTCTCGCCGTGTCACCAAGCGCGTCCGTCGAAGCCCTCCAGTTCCTGCTCGACAAGGGCGCCGACGCCCGCCAACTCTCGGTAACCCACACACGACACACGGCACACGGCACACGGCACACGACACACGGGCACACATGAATCTGCAAACGACCAACGACACGACCAACGACAGGGAGATGGCAAGTCGGCGCTGGAGGCGCTGCTGACCAAGCGACCGGACGAGTTGGCGCGAAAGCTGGCCATGGGCGAGCTGCTGCTGGCGCACGGCTGCCCGATCGCGAGCCGCACGTCGCTGCTCGTGCTCGTGCTCCAGTGGCTCCGCCGCCCCGCGTCCGGGTGGCGGCCTCACGAAAAGGCGGCCTACGACGCCGTCGAGCAGACCACCCACGACGCGCTCCAATGGCTCTTCGACCGGGCCGCGTGGCCCACGCCCCTCGACGCGGCCACCGACGTCAACACAGTTGTTCTGCCGCTGGTGGGGAGCAGCTCGCCGAGCATCATGGTGCTGCT